TTTTCTACTAAATGACGTCAAATTAAAATCGGTGGGGCTTTTCTTTCCGTAAAATTTTGCTGAATATTATCTTGCAAGGAAGGGTCAAATTCTAAAACATTAGTGCGACAAACATAAATGGCTTTGGGTCTTTGGTTCGGCAAATTATTATGGAGTTGTTTTTCAATTACTTTTAAATCTTCTATTAACGAGGAAATTGTTTCTTCCCGAGGGTTTTCATAACTGGCTAATTGAATTACTTTTTTCACTAAACCAGCTTCCACTACTTCATTAGTTGGCACTTGGGTGAAAAAATCAAGGTCCTTTCAACCGCTTTCTTTTTTGAGTTCATTAAACTGTTCGGCTAATTTTTGGGGAAATTTTATGGTAGCACTTGCCATTAAAAATACTTCTGGTTTCAATTCTAATAATAAATCAGTTTGTTGGTCGGATAAATTATGGCCTTCATCATAGACAATAAAAATTGGTCGCTGACCGCGATTTTTTAAACTTTCCCAAGTGCTTTGATTTTGTTCGTCTAATTTACACTGATAGATTTGGCGATTGCCGGCTTCTTTATCTTTTTGGTTAAAAGTTCCCACCGTAGCAAAAAGGACTAATGGCTCATTTTCTAATAGCAAATTTTCTTGGTATTCCGCTAACATAATTACTTGACATTTACCTAATAAATGGTGATATTTGCCCCCCGTAGTTAAATTATTGAAACTTTGTTCGACTACTACACTGGCTTTGCTTAGTCAGAGAATTATCGGAGGTCGAGAGACCGATTTAATGATTTCCCCAATAGTTTTGGCTAAAATTACGGTTTTTCCCGAGCCAGTTAAAGCGTCAAGAATTTGAATAAAAGGAACCGGAGTTTCCTCTTCTCCTTTTTTGATAATAATAGGCTGGCGGAGATAATTTTCGTATTTCTCAACTATCTTTAAAGCGGCTTTTTCTTGAAACTCAAATAGTTCTAACATAACATTTTTTTAATTTCTCGTTTGGTATTTATCATAAGTTTTTATTAATTAAACTCATCTTTTTCCAAATCAAAACCAAAATCTAACAAAACACTATTAGGAATTTGGTAAAAATTCACGGTATCCACTTGGCATAAATATAAGCGAGCATAAACATGATAAGGAGTTTTTAAATTATGTTTTTGGGCTTCTTGAACTACTTCCTGATAAACTTCTTTGGTGAAATTAACATTTTTATTCGGTCCATCCCAAATCAGGAAAAATCCTTCCTGCTGGCTGTTTTTAGCAATTAGATAACGACAATTTTCATTTTTTAATAATTGTAAACCTTGATATTTTTGCTGATATTTATCAATTCGACTAGCGATAATAGTGTCAATTAATTCGGCTCGTTCCATTTGTAAAATGGCTGGGGTATTAATTTGCTTATCCAGGGCAGTAAATTTAAATCCCCGTTATATCGTCAATTTACTAAAAACACTTCCTTCTGACAAAGAAATTGGAATTATTACTTTTAATGTCAAACAACAAGGGAAAATAGAAGACTATATTGGTGAAAAAAATCAGTACAAAAATCTGTTTATTAAAAATTTAGAAGAAGTGCAGGGGGATGAAAGAGATATTATTATTTTTTCCATTGGTTATGCTCGGAACGAAGAGGGCAAGTTTTATCTCCGCTTTGGTCCGCTTGGTCAAGAAGGTGGCGAAAAGCGACTCAACGTTGCTAGTCGGGCTCGGGAAAAAATAATTATTGTAACTAGCCTTTTGCCGAGTGATTTAAACAGAATTACTGACGAAGATGAAAATCGAAATCTAGGGCCAAAACTTTTTAAAAAATATTTAGAATATGCTTATTATTGTTGAGAAAACCAGTCTGAAAAAACTCAAAATATATTAAAAAAACTTCCCTCAATTGCTAATGCTTCCCTTTATAAAAAAAACTTCCCTCAATTGCTAATGCTTCCCTTTATAAAAAAGATTTAGAGCAGAAAGATTTCGATTCTTTATTTGAAGAAAAAGTATATAAAGAATTAGTAAAACAGATTGAAAACTATGAAATTCATAAGCAAGTAAAAAGTGTTGGTTATCATATTGATTTAGTTATTTGGGACAAGCAAATTCAGCAATATATTTTAGGGATTGAATGTGATGGAAAATACTGACATGGAAAACTAGAAAATATCGAAAGAGATATCTATCGACAACAACTTCTTGAAGATAAGGGTTAAAAAATAAATCGTATCCTGTCTCGTGATTGAAGTCGTAACAAAAAAGGAGAAATAGAGAGAATTAAAAATGAACTAGAAAAATTAAAAGTTACTTAATTTTGATACTAAATTTCTAACTTTTTCAAAACACACCAATGCGAAACCCCACTATCTAATCAAACATCCATAATATCTTGTCCTAAAACAGTATTTTTATCTACTAAATTAGGAAATTTCTCCCGCAAAAGTGGCAAAATACTACCATCAAACCAACAATCAGAACCACGAATGGCAACTATTCCCGCAACATAATCAATAATTTTTGGATTAAGTATTGGTTCGTTATTTTGGTATAAAATAGGAAGCGGCACGCCTCATTTTCTTTGGCGAGAAATACATCAATCCTCCCGAGCACTAATTATTTGACGCATTTTTTCTTCGGTTCAACTTGGATATCACTTTACTTCTTTGATATTTTCCAATAACTCTTTTTTGATTGCTTCTACTTTAATAAATCATTGTTTAGTTAGCCGATAAACCAGGGGACTTTTATCACGCCAATCATGGGGATAACTATGGGTAATTATTTCTTTTTTTACTATTAAATTCCTTTTTTCTAAATTAGTGATAACATACTGATTAACTTCTGAATAATGTTTATTAATTACTTCTGTAACTCCAATTTTTTCATTAAATAAGCCATTAGGTTCTAGAGGACATTCAATAACCAACTTTTCCTTTTTTGCCAGACCAAAATCCTCGGCTCCAAAAGCGGGTGCCAAATGAACTATTCCCGTGCCTTCCCCCTCCTCAATAAAATCGCTGCCATCCGCAACATATCCTTGGGTATCTTTCCGATAAGGATGAAAATAATTTAATCCCAATAATTTTTCACCATCTAATATTTTCTCTACTTTTAATTCTTTTCCACCTCAATTTTCTAAGAGGGAGATTTTACTTTCCAAAATTATTAAATTTTCATTATTATATTCAACCAAAGCATAAGAGGCTGTTTTTTTGACGGCTACTAAACGATTAGCCGGAATAGTTCAAGGCTGGGTGGTTCAAACGAGCAAATTAATATTTCTTTGACCTGAAAATCTAGGATTTTCTACCAACTTAATTTTAAAATAAAGAGAAGTATCTTTTTTTTCTAAATATTCTATTTCATTTTCGGCTAAGGCTGTTTCGTGGCTCCACGACCAATGAATCGGACGATAACCATGATAAATTAGTCCTTTTTTCACCATTTCACCAAAAACTCGCAATTGTTCGGCTTCATAATTTTTATCCAGAGTAATGTAATATTTGTCATAATTAGTAAATAATCCTAATTTTTTTAATTGTTCTCGTTGATTTTGGGCTTGTTCTAAGGCAAATTGATGGCAAAGTGGTCGCAAATCATTTTTTTTGTCTTTATGAAGCTGAAGCATTTTGTGTTCGATAGGTAAACCATGGGCGTCCCAACCAAGCAGAAAAGGAGTATAATAACCCGTGGAAGCCTGGGAACGGACAATAATATCTTTAATTAGGAAGTTTAAAACATGCCCCAGGTGAATTTTACCATTCGCATAAGGAGGACCCGAATGAAGGACAAAGGACTGATTACTTTTATTTCTTTCTAATACTTGCTGATAAATTTGTTTTTCTTCCCACAATTCTCTGATTTTTTTTTCCGTTTCTAAATGATTAGTGTTTTTCAGCGGAAATTCAGTCTTGGGAAGTAGAAGAGTATCTTTAATCTTTTTTGAGTCCATTTTATTAAAATAATTTTAACTAAAAAATAAAAAAAGAATAACTTCTTATTAAAATCGCCATATATACAAATTGACTGAAACTTCTACAATTCCCTAATAAAGTAATATTTTTCTCCAAGAGATATAGAGTCAGTTGAGTTGTTTTTTAACTAATCAGCAAAAAACGATTTCTATTTGGCACCATTACAACAAGAAAAACCATCCAAAAACCTTTAAAAGTAGAATGTTTTTATACCCCTCTTTTAGGTAGTAAATGCAGAAAAATCTTTGAAGTTAAGTATAACCGTTCTCGTGGCAAACATACCCAACGAAATAACTAAGGTTATTGAACTGAAAAAGAGAAAGACAAAAAAAGTATATTTGTAATGAGTGTTTAATTTCTTTTTACAAAGAGAATAAATATACTTTTTGAGAAAAAATTACTAGTGAAAAAAAGAGAAACATACTCCGCACTTATGTCAACAGTAATAGCCTGAAACGCAAAAGAAAAATATTGGAATGTGATGGAGAGGGCTGTGAAACTGCTTGTTGTTATGGTTGTCGGTGCTGCAAAGAAAAAACCAAAATAATCAACGAGTTAGCAAAGCAACTAAAAGGATTAAAAAAAACTTGGTAAAAATACTCCAAAGTTATAATTATAATTTAAATTATAGAAAAAGAAACAAGAATTTTTACAGGAACTCCAAAGTCGCCTTCATAACAAACAACTAACCGAGCAAGAAGTAGCCGAAATACTAGAAGCGGAACAATGAAAAAAAATTCACGAAAACACTTCCCTCCAATTTGATAAATTGCTTAGTAATTTTGACCAAGAAAAAACATTGCTGATGTCTTTGGCTAAGAAATACAAAGCGGAAGAGGAGCAAGCCAAAAAAGATAATACCCCAGAGTGTAAAAAATGCAAGTTGCGACGAAAGCAAGCCATCTCTTTCCTAACCAACTGTGAAGGCCGATGTCAAGAGTGCATAAACAAGAAACAAAGGGAAGAGCAGAAGAAAGATAACAATGATAAATATGTTCCCCCAGTTGATAATCCCCTCTCCCTAGATAATTCCCCTAAAAATAATGAAGAAAATTTTCCTAATTCTGACGAACCTAATAATTCCTCATCTACTCCCATTAATCCTTCCTCCCAAACTGATAACGATAAGCAGAAAGAAAGAACCTGTCGAACCTCCCCCGAGAGGAAAAGCCCTCATCATCAGGAAAACAGAATGCCAAAAGGGAGATAAAAAAAAGCCGACCATACTTTAACATATGTAGCATCAGGAGCAATCAGAATAGCAGTAATTATTGTGGCAGTGATATTATAATCGTTAAGAAAAAAAGTAGTAAGTTGTTTAAAAAACGGTAAAACTGCAAAATAAATTGAAATTAAGTCTAAAACAATAATTATATATGCCTATTGAAAGAACTCTTTCTATCATCAAACCAGATGTTACCAAAAAAAACCAAATTGGTGAAATTATTAATGTTTTTGAAAAAAGGGAGTTAAAAATAGTGGGAATGAAAATGGTTCGTTTAACTCCACAATTAGCCGAGATTTTTTACCAAGAACATAATACAAAACCATTTTTCAAAGGAATGACTGAGTTTATGTGTAGTTCTCCCGTCGTAGTAATTTGTTTGGAGGGAGAAAATGCTATCAAACTTAATCGCGAAATTATGGGAGCCACTGACCCCCAAGTAGCCAAAGTAGGAACTATTCGAAGAACTTATGGGGAAAGTATCGATAATGCTAATGCGGTGCATGGTTCAGATAGCCCCGA